TTCAGCATACTTTTTAAAAGCAAAAAACTTATATATTCAGTACCATATTTTTTTATTTCTAAATGAAACCTGACAATGCAACTATGGCTATTTGTCCCCTGTGTAAGTTTGCCTGGATCCTTATTTAAAATTAGCTGTCTTGAGTCTTTGTCTGAGATGAATGACAGTATTCACTGTTTAAAGCAGTGGTTCCCAAACCTTTTTTGCTGGGTCCCCCTTTGCTTTACAAGAAAAATGTTCGCACCCCCCCCTCCTCCCCCCGCACCCACACATCCTCCAACCACACACACCCATATTCTGTTTTCAAACTCCACTGCAGTTTATTTCACACCTCAAACATTTAGTAAACAATTAAACATATAAAAGTGAACTGCAAAAAATTACAGGTAGCAATAAAATAAACTACTAACTCTTTTACGCAATGTCCACACCTACACGAATATTTTTTAAAGCGCAGCTTTTTCTATGCGTTTGGACCTTTCGTCCACACGTAAACTGCATTTCGAATCACCGAAAACTGAGATTTTTTTAAAACTCCTGTCAGGTTGGAGATTTTCAAAAACTCAGTTTTTGTGTTTACATGTGAACAAGGAATACGGAGTTCGTCACGCATTGTCAAAGGTATATGCCTTTTTTCACTTCACGCTGTGCGTCACATTATTGTTTACATGAGATTAATTTCTACAATGGCGGATATAGACAAAATACTGTTTCTGCTGCCTTCAGGTGAATGTATGGCTATTCACCCTATGCAGTGAGCTTAACATAAGAGGAGATGGTCCCAGGAATGACAGGACACATCGCTTTGTCTTTGTGTCTTTAACTGAAGACCATTTTTTCCTCTTTTAATTTGTAAGACTGTGAACATACAGTAAAATAATACGTAAGTATCAGTATCGACTTATTTTGTAACCAAAAAGAGAAGTTCGCAACATAGCTTTTCTTATGCTTTACATTCACCATAAACATCTTTCCTTATAAGTTCAAATAACCTCTTAAGTAACAGGAAAGTAACTAATCTTACAGAAAATAAAGCTACACATTGATTACTTACAGATTACGGCTCAACAAACTCCCCAACGATGTAAACTGGGCTTAAAGTTGTGAAGCTTGTTTTCTCCTCCAGGCATTTTCTCACACTGCCTGCGTGAACTTTGCCTGCTGCTTACAACACAGCACAAAGGGGGCAGTGTAGTGCACACAAAATAACTAAACAAGAAGCCACAAAACTCAAGGGGTAATACTGCCCACTAGTGGGAAAACTGAAAAATGCACCAGCCAAAGAAACCCAATAAAGCAACAACAGGGGCAGAATACTTTTAATCAGGGGCGATTCTAGAATCAGAGCTTTGGGGGTGCTGAGCACCCAGAGAGCTGCCCAGCCAGGCAAGATAAACCTGTCTCTGTCAGTCCCTGCATCCTTAAACGTTGTCCCGAGATCTCTTTGACTGTCTCCTTGGTGCATTTAAACCCCTGTTTCTCGCTGTCCTCATCGTCTGTTGTATTCATCTCCATTATCAGTCATCATAATTTTACCATCTCTGTGTAAGTCTGCAAATTTCTTTATTAAATCATAAGATTCTTAAATTCATCAAGTCTCTCTGTGCCTGGGTCCTCGTCACAAAACATGACATCACTGTTTTGTACATTTTAACACAATTTAATCTCACATTTGTGAAAGAAAAGCAAAACACTTTTTTGAAAAGTCTGTAACAAAACCATCAAATCTGATCAAGGTTATTTAAATGCTGCTAAAGAAGAATGGATTGGAATAAAAAAAAAAATACATATCCTAACCTTCATTACTGCGGGAGAATAATGAATGATGCTCATAGTGAGTAAGAAGTAAACTGAATGCATTTTTTGGACAGAGATTCACATTTAATGTGTATGTATAATATAATACAGATACATAAAAAACACTCCCGAAACAGAATAAATTGTTACAAATAAATTATTACATAATATTAAAACTATAAAAATGGAGGCAACTTTGCCTGTGGTAGAATGTATACAATGTGTACAATGTATGCAGATACTAATTTTACTAATTTAATAAAACTAATTTTGTGTTGTCAGATTTATGACTTTCATGCTTTCATAGTGGTCCTTAGGAGAGCTTGACATTTT